GTTTAGAGGCAGCTGCCTGCGGTTTCTGCCGGTCGGGGGAAGGTTTTTCCAGATCATCTTCGAGTTATGGACAGCGCTGTCAGCTGAAAGTCCGGGCGAGCGGCCGGCTCTTCCCCGTCCCTGCCGTGGGGAGCTGGAACAGGGGTGAAAACCCAGGAGAAATGGAGGAGGAGGAAGGAAGGGGGGGGGGAGGAAGGAAAAACAACCACCCCCGGAGCTGCCGTCGGCATTCCCGGCCGGTGCCGGGGCTCAGCTCGGCTCCTAGAGCAGCAGCTGCGAGTCGGGGGTCTTGGTTTGGCAACCTTGGCACATTCGTTTGTGTCTCAGCAGCCGGTCTGTCCTGGAGAAGCTCTGTGGCAGAGGTTGGGGAGGGGGGCGGTTATGAGCCCTGGGGGGGGGGGGGTTCTCACCCCTCCAGCCCTGTCCGGATCCCTAGGGAGCGGATCCCGGCCGGATCCTGGCTCCCCTGGGGCGGTACCTGCATGCAGCGCTCGCACTGGTAGGGTTTCTCCCCGCTGTGGACGCGCTTGTGACGCTCCAGGTGATATTTCTGGATGAAGCGCATGTCGCACACATCGCACTCGAAGGGCTTCTCGCCTGGAGGGAAGCGGGGAGGCCACGATACATAATTAGGGGGGAGCAGGGTGTTTAATTAAGGCAGCTTGGCGCTCGTTAGGGGGGTGGGAGGTGGGGCGTCGGCCGCCGTTACCGGTGTGGATGAGGATGTGTCTCTTGAGGTGGTAGCTGCTGCGGAAGGCGCCAAAGCAGTGCTCGCAGATGAAGTTTTTGGGGATCCTCAGCTGGAAGGAGCCGTTCTGCTCGATCACCACCACCTGCAGAGCAGAGAACCCCCGTCAGCGGGGGGGGGGGCAAATCTGCCCCCCAGAGCCCCCCCCCGGCCGTCCTGCGCCTGCCGGAGTTTGGGAAATCTTCCTCCTCCTCCTCCTCCTCCTCCACGGCGGCAAACCTGGCTGCCGAGGCGGGATCCTCTCCGGGAGGAGCGGCTGGGTCCCTCGGCGCCGGCCACCCGCTTGCGGCGCTGGCACGGGGAGGGAGGACTGGGTCAGTCGCGCCTGTTCCTGCCCCAGGA